ATTTCACGTGCAACAGTCCCAGGGGCCTGATAAGTTAGGTGTCTTTGGATTCATCTTTAGAGCACAATTATAAATAAGTCCAAATTTTGGTATTTTGAGTTTAATACGAAGGTGGCATCACTCGTAAATAAAAGCTACTGAATTTCGTTGTTTATCTACAATTACTCACCAAAGTTTCAGCCATTTTGGACGCGCAGCTGTTATGTAACAGTCGTTTCGGTCAGTTGATGTGAGTGGTTCTGTGAAAATGGACAAAATCTAGTAGCTGTTTTTAAGTATTTGTTTTTGAGAGGCAACACGCCCACGCAAATCCAAGATGAGTTGGATTCTGTGTATGGTGACTCTGCACCATCACTTACCACAGTGATATTTTGGGCAGCTGATTTTGAACGTGGCCGGAAGAGCTTGGGAGACGGGATGTCCTAAAACTGCAACTACCGACGAAACCTTCTCCAGCAAATAGTGCTAGACGACCGCCGAACTAAAGTGAGAGATATAGCAGAGGTTATGAACATGTCAAAAGAACGTGTTTGTCACATATTAAATCAACATTTATTCATGAGAAAGCTGTCCGCGCGTTGGTTGCCGCGTTTGCTCACTTTAGACCAGAAACGTGTTCGGATGAACATTTCCAACGCTCGGTTGGCGCAGTTTAGACGCAATAAATCCGAGTTTTGGCGCCGATTAATTAATCTAGATGAAACTTGGATACCCCACTATAAGCCCGAAACAAAAATACAATCCAAATAGTGGACTATGAAAAAATAAAACACTTTTTTTTCGGCTGAGGAGGTGATGGCGACTTTTTTTTGGGATAGTCATGGGATTATTTTAATCGATTATCTTCAAAAGGAAAAATCATTACAGGAGCATATTACGCATCATCACTTAACAAACTGAAGGCAGAGCTTGTGGAAAAACGGCCACATTTGCAGAAAAATAAAGTCCTGTTTCATGAAGACAACGCACCGTCTCACACCTCAGCGGTTGCCATGGCGAAAATACACGAATTACATTTTGAACTGCTTAATCATCCACCTTACTCACCAGATCTAGCCCGAAGCGACTTATTTTTGTTTCCTCATCTAAAAACTGCGCTCGGAGGACAGAGATTTTCGACAAGTGAAGAGGCAGTCACCTTCGTGAACAATTATTTTGCAGAGAAAAAGGGCGACATCAAGTGTGAAATCCGAAAAAATGTCTTGTATCTTTGTTAGGTCGGACCATCCTTGTACGCTGAGCAACATATGTATGCACACTTTCTAAGTTGCTATTTTCAGATTTGATATATCTTTTAAAGCAAAGCAATTAGCTACTTTTAAATCAGGTTAAGTCATCAGGCTACCTAAAGTAAAACAAGGTTGGTTATGTCACTGAGAGGACAAGTACACCCTGTGCAAATTTCTTTTGTGATCATGTAAGTTACACAGTTATTTATATACATATATATATATATATATATATATAAAACATAATATAGACATAAAAATATAGAAAAGGTAATATCATAGTGAGAGCTGTGTGTGATAGCAATAGCATAATGCCTTCCAGATGTAAATGAATGGTAGATCTACCTAAGAGTCACTCGGAGAATACCAACTGCCATTTTGTAATAGAGATAGATGTAATATGTAGCTCTTAATTAGCAATAGGCTAAGTTAGTTCTGTGCTCAAGTTTCCTCACATTTATACTACATAGATTTTACAAAAAAATGTGGAATGTACTCATGTGACAGCCAGAAAAGACTTTCTCATTTCTCAGGTAGGTCATATGCAGGTGCGAAGAAGTAATGCTGGCATTTTGTACTATACAAAGAACTTTTCTGAAGTTGATTTGAAGGGAGGTTACCCTGTGAATCTAGAATGCAATATCTGAGAAGAAGTATAACCATCCACAAAAACTACTTGCTTGGGTTCCTGAAAGGTTCCATCAGTTTATATAATAATAATAATAATAATGACTTTATTCAGAAGATGATCATAGTATGGTGAAGTTTAGCCATGGATACTCTACCACTCAGCCATACTACAACCAGACATCACAAAACATTAGCATAACAACCTGAATCAGTAGCTGTGAGGAATGCATTAAAAAGGAGTAAATATATAATATGAACATATACAAGGAAAAGAAACAAAAGAACAAGATATCGTTCAGCAAAATGAATTTATCACTCAATGTGCTGAGTCCAGAAAGTGCAACTTGACTGATTTCTTGAAGCGCTGCAAATTTAAGCTATTAGAGATAGCTGGTAAAGAATTGTATACCTTGACCGCATTATAAGTAAGGACCTTTCAAACACCAACGTACGATGTATAGGAATGGAAAGTAGATCATTGTGCCGCAGATTTAGAGTAATTTGGTTTCCACGAGGAATCAATTTACAGAGCAAATAGACAGGTTTTCCAGTTTTAAAAATTCTATGCACCAATGAAGCCATACAGTAGTTGTATAAGCCTTCAACTCTGAGCGACTGTAACTCCTTGATTTTTGAAGAAACGCTACTATACTTCCTGAGCCCAAATATGAATCTGCAACAGTTGTTCTGAAGTTTCTGCAATTTTGACTTGCAAGCTTAGTCTAGGCATGGGTAAATGAGGACTAGAGAGTAAGCTAAAATTGACCATATGAGGCTTTCACACAACTTGTTTACGACACTTAAAGTTTAGAATATGGCGACTAGAATATAAAAGCTTCATCTTCATATAACTCGACTTCATAATATTATTCAGATGTAAGTTAAATCGAAGATTTGAATCAAATATAACACCTAGATTTTTAGCATTATCACAAAATGGAATAGCTATGTCGTTGATAAATAAGGAGACTCGATTTGTGATATTGTAATTTGAATGTCTAGGACAGTATGGTATCGCGGTGCATTTTGACGGATTGATGCGGAGACAGTGTCTATTACAATACGTTAATACGTTATCAAGATCTAGGTTAATTTTATACGATGCTTCATGTAAGTTGGATTCATTGAAACGAAATGTTAGATGTGTATCGTCACCATACATTTGAATGCAACAATGTTCTACACACTCATGCAGATCGAATGTGTATACTAGGACTGAAAGAGGTCCCAGTACTGAACCCTGTGGAACTCCTGATGACAGATACCGTGCATCAGAAGTTCCTCTAGATGTTTTCACTCTTTGGGTGCGATCAGTTAGGTACGATCTGAAGAAATTCAACGGAACTGCCGACATGCCATAATATTTTAGCTTACTCAAAAGAATCTCATGATTGACCGTATCGAAAGCCTTGGAAAAATCAAGCATGACCAACAGCGTGCCGGATTTGTTGTCAAGGTTGGAAAGTATCTCATCTGCAAGATGTAGTAGTGCAGTAGCCGTACTGTGACCTTCACGAAAACCAGATTGGTGTACTGGAAAGAAATTATTGTTCAAGCCACGCAAATACAATAGATTGTCATTTAGCTTAACCTTGCCTATGACTATTATTTCCTGTATTATTTTCATGGAATGAGCTGACTTAAGTTGAATTATTTGTTTTTTATTTGACTTAGTTTCAGTTGTGCGTTTTTTAGACAGAAAATTTTTGAAAAGATTGTCTATTTTCACTTATATTGCACCTTAATTGCTATGTTGAATATACTTTTTTTGGATTAACGTTATGTCTCTTTATTATGAACTTATCTGGTGTAAGTCAATGTTAAATATTGCATGTCTAAACACGACTTATTATATAATATGATAAGTCCGAATTTTACCTTTCTTAGTCAAACTCAAATTAGGTTAAGACACAAAAATGACAAAAAATCAAATTTCAGAATTGCCTCCAACTGCTTGTTGTTCACCACTAAACATACCTGTATAAAAAATCCATCGCTACATTTGCTTCTGTCTCTTTACCTATCAAAGACAACATAGACGTCTGGACCTAATCTTGAAGAGAATGGAGTTATGAAACCAGAAATAGCGCATGGTATATTTAGCTCTTTTTATTGCTACATGGAACTATAATACAGAAGGTGAAAGCATTTGTTTTAAGACAGACAACGGAACTGAGGAATAAAACCGTTTATTAGTTCATTTTATGACATGAATGTTTCATAGCAAATGACATATTTTATTTTCGGTCATGTAAAATTTCACTTTCAAGGGTTCCTTTTCAAAGTGGAAGATATAACGCCGAGATGAACGTACAAACCATTAACCTGACATGTATAATCGCTTATATATTATATCATATACTGGATAGACTAATTTGAGGGTCTGTAATCCACCTAATTCTGTCATTGGTAGGTATAGTCAAAGAATTTAAAAACTGTTTTGGGTTGGTTTGAATAATGGCTGCTGGGCACTAACTCAGATTACTAGTAGACTACTACTACTGAAGATAATACAATCTTGTATACTTTTTGGAACCATCTGTGTCAACGCCATCTGAAGAAAGCGATGTACCTTTTCATACTTCCCATTAATTATATACCTTGGACAGACTTTTTGCCATTTTATTCTGAAATCTCTAAGACAAGGAAAATGTTCAATGAGTTTTAACTTTAAAAATATGGATGTCAGCAAAAGGCTTCTGCACAAAATTAAAATTCAGAAAGCCCCTGTAAAATGCTAGTTCTTTGTTAAAATTTAATTCGCTGCTATTAAACTATACCCATTTGCAATTTTGTTACATGTACTTGCATTTACAGTATTTCAATGTTATCATTTAAACATTGCTATTTGAACTATGGACATCCAAGTCTTTAGTTCTCTTCCGGTTGGAAACAATTCGACAGCAGCGGTGGCCGCCTGATCAGTCGCCGTGCGCTGTACGGGTTCGAGTCCCCTCCCAGGAGAAATTTTTCTCTTGGCTATGGATGTTGTGATTGTCCGTATGTGGTAGACGGTCTCTGACTGTCGAACGTGGAGGTACCACCCGGCGGATCTCGTAGGCGGAGCCAGAATGTGTGCATGTTGCATGCACACGTGTTCCCTCGCCAGAAACCGTGTGGCGTTCCCCCTTTCCCCTGTATCCCCCTATAGCACCACGGTATCAAATGGGTGTTTAGGCCTTAGGCCTTCGCGGTAGTTGGAGCATAAAAAAATATTCTTCCTTGCTTATATGCTCTTAGTTTCTTACAAAAGTCTTGCGTGATACTGTTTCGTCTCTTTTACACATAAAAAACAGTTACAAAATTGTGACATTTTCTCTTTTGTACCTGGATTTTTTTTTAAAATTATGACTCTTTAAAATCAACATCAATTTTTTTTTTAAATTCTGACTCTTTAACATCAACAACAATTCTCTTGACGCTTCAAACAATGGTACCACTATGCACCATTAATATTATTATGGATCTATCTATGCTCTATCATACCAACACGATTAGTAGATTGACAATGGAACCAGAGGCAGATGCAACCTTTAAGTAAATGAAACTGATAATAGATCTGTTTTTGTAGTCTGATGTCACAAACGATCATCGTATTAATAGTCATATGTAACTTAACGCCATACATCATGAATATTAGCATACTTAACTATCACGTATATCATATAACATCGAGCATACTTTGCGAATCTTCACCGAATTATGTCACTAGGATATCGCTTCATCATCGTTGGTGCAGCTGCACATATTTTTCTAACAGCAGGAAATCCGACATTCTTATCTGATTACAGCATCTGTGTATTATCTCGCCAGCAACGCATATGGAACATTATGCACTTTGCTTGGAAAAGCTGCCATTTAAAATTATGTCTTACATGCGCAACATATCTGAATCAAAATTATTCCATCGAAAAATTGTATGTTATCGGCACCTCCTATGCATCGAAGGCTTTGCTTGACGCGGAATTTCTAACAACTTGAATTATTCGCGTACTTCTCGATCTATAATATCTGAAAGTGGAACAGTACTCATTCGCCTTAGCGGCCTGCGTGGGTTCCGAAATATGGCTGAGCATACGCAGAAATTTTTCGCGAGACGTGTGGTTAGCCATCTCTCGATAGATGCCTTGCAAAGCATGTGGGTTGTCGTAAAAGCACAATTAATAGTGACATATCCAGCTTGATTTTTGGCATGAGCATTGAGCAGGCCTACTCGGATGCGCCGATGCAATGCGATGTATCGTGAGTTATGATGTGTGAAAGTTTTGATAGTTGACAGAGTTGGTTTTACTTTGATGAGTAAATATTACTCTAGTTTATGATTGCATCTTGCGTGAGTGAGCTTCTAAAATGATAAGTGCAGCTGGATGAAGATAATGAGAACGATTGAATTAGGACACTGATAATGTTGGTCTATGGAAGAGCAGCAAAAAAAACGGTATGACCATAGGGTACAGCTTATGGATGAGGACACTGATGTTCAGCCAGGTAGTACTGAAAAAATGGGGCCAACATCGTATTTTGGCGTGATATTTGCAGCTAGCGGGATTTCGAGTAAGAGGTAGGGGTTATGTCACGTAGCAAGACTGCAGAAAAAAAAAGCAGTACTGGCTGATAACTAACAGTGAAGCAGTTGGTCATTGGCAGAGCAGTATGATTGCACTCTAGCGGATGGAAAGCAATGTAATTATTGCAACTAACTATAGATTTATTATATATAAAGGTTTCCTGGCAATGATTTCTCAAATTGATTACTAATTCTACGATGTGGCCACGACATATATACAGGGTGTTACTAAAGTATGTAGACAAATTTTAATCATCGAATCCTTGGTCAATTTGAAGACGAAATTTCCATACGAACATGGGTCCGCAACGGCTTTGTTTTCACTTGAGCATATTTGCATATTGTTCTAAGAAATTATAAAAGAATGGAACGTATTTTATTTTAATTAAGTGGTGAATAACATGATTTACAGTTGATTTCAGACCCTCCATGTACGTAGATACGGATAATATTATCCAGTATTTATTGAAAAAAATAGCTTGGCATTGATTTGTTTTGATCGCAATACTTTTAATGTCTTAGCATTGTGCTTATCTAGACACCTATGACGTAACCGAAAACAATTGAATTAATTTATTTTCTCAAATAATTCGTGGCCACTTTGAACATTTATTGTGAAGAAACTATTCGATATTTTCCATTGTTGTCGTCCTATTCAAATTTTACTGTTCAAAACTATTGACCTTCTAAATAATTTTTTTTCCAAAAATACAGGATAATACTATTTTCATCCACGTTCATATTCCACCTCAGCAACTTGTAAAACATGCAAAATTTATCATAGGTTATACCAACTATTCAATAAATACGTTTCATTATTCATAGAAGTATTTGGAACATTAGTCGTATTTCTTTAGTGATAGTCTCTAGCTCGAAAAGAAAGCCGTTACGGACCCATGTTCATATGAACATTTAGTCTTGAAGTTGACCAAGGATTCGATGGTTACAGTTTGTCTAGATACACTTTATTAACACCCTGTATAGTATACACGTACGTATTAGGAGCTATTATAATTAAGTATCGAACATTGTTTTCAACAGTCTTACTCTAGATCTAGTCTACCGTGTACGGACAATCTGAGTAATTTTTTTTCACGAAAAGCCCAAATGGTGCACTAATGATTCTCACAAAACGTACATCCTTTTGGTGTCATTGCATACGTGGAAAATTGTACTAGAAGTTGCTCTGAAGGCGTGGTAAGTATACAGTCCATCTACTTGTTATATGGCATGTACATCACGAAAATCCATGTTTGGCGACATTGTGACAAACATGTCGATGAAAATGTTGTACAAAGTCATTTCAGCATAATTACTGCGTGTACTTGCAGTAGTAAACCGACGAACACCTTAGGCGTGGGAAGTGAAACTTGTGTCTCTTTAGGCTATTCATTATATTTTTCTAGTTCGTGTTTCTACGTAATGACTTAGACTTCTCCTGGCATATTATTATTTCAACAATAATTCATCTCGCCTATCATACACTCAAATACGGAAGGCGGCAAACACAGCATGTGTCAATCAGTTGAATCAAGCAGGCAACCGAAGCGTAACCAGCATGACACATGTTGCATTCATCGGCCACCCACACATATGGTATAACCAAAGCTTACAGACGACTAGAAGTATGATCACTCGGAAAAATCCAAGAGTTCATACCGGAACCGCCAGAAACCATTTTTTTCCATTGACGTATCGTCTTAACTAAACAAGAAGATACGATCGATTCAAAGAGATTGTAGGTTCAGATGAAGTTCAAGAGGATCCAAGGCAATCTAAGGAGATCCTAGGCAACTCAAAGCGAACCATAGATATCCAACCATACAATTTAAAGACATTCGAGGTATCCGACGAGATTTTGTATTCTAATATGATCCGCGGAACTCCAAAATTATCTATCCCAATCTGAGGAAAGACAAGGTAATCCAAGGAGTGTCGAGGTTCAGATGCAGTTCAAGGAGATTCAAGGCTATTCAAGGAAAACCGATGCAATGCAACGAGATCCAAGCCAATCCAAGGAGAACCGGGACAATTCAAAAAGAATCGAGGGTATCTAATGAAGCAATTCAAGGAAATATGATATATTTAACGAGATATTGTATGCCAGTGTGAGGAGATAAAAGGTAAACCAATGAGATTCGAGGCAATTGAAACAAATACGAGGTTTAGATGCCATTCAACAAGACTCAAGCCAATTGAAGGAGATCCGAGGCAATTCAAAGAGAATCGATGGTATTCAACGAGACAGTTCAAGAAAATTCCAGACATCCAACGATGTTTCGTATTCCAGTATGAGGAGATCGCAAACAACCCAAGAGTATCTATCCCAGTGTGAGGAGAGGTAAGGAGTGACGAGATGCAAATGCAATTCAAGGAGATTTAAGGTAATTCCAGAAAAACTGAGGCAATTCAAGGAAATTCAAGGTTTAGATGCAATATATTCAAGCCAATCCAAGAAAATCCGGGGCAATTCAAAGAAAATTGAGGGTATCAGAGGAATCAATTCAATAAAATCCAGGATACTCGACGATATTTTCTATTCTAGAATGAGGAGATAGATTCGGGGCAAACCAAAGAGAGTCAAGGTTTAGAGGCAATGCAGCAAAATCCAAGGCAATCCGATGAGATCCGGGGCAATTCAAGAAGATTCGAGGTTTAGATGGAGTTCAATGACGTGATTCAACGAGAATAAAGGGTATCCAATTAATCCATAGAAGTACGAGTTGTCCAACGAGATTGTGTATGCCAGCGTGGGAAGATCCGAAGTAATCCAAGGAGATTCGAGGCAAATCAGGAAGATACGAGGTTTAAATACAATTTAACCAAACTCCTGCCAATCGAAGGAGATCCGAGGCAATTCAAAGAGAATTGAGGACATCCAACAAATAAATTTAAGGAAATACAAGGTATCCAACGAGATTTTGTATGGCAGCGTGGGGACATCTGAGGTAATCCAGGGGGTGTTGAGGTTCAGGAGCAATTCAAGGAGATTGAAGGTAATTCAAGGAGATTAGGGGCAATTCAAGGAGATTCTCGGCAAGATCTGAGGAAATTCAATGAAAATCGAGGGTGTCCAACGAGCTCAAGGAGATTTTTTATTCCAGTGTGAGAAGATCGGAGGCAATTCAATAAGCGTCGAGGGTCGAGGTTCAGTGACACTTCGAGGAAGTCCAAGACTATCCAAGCAGATCCGCGATAATTGAAAGAGATCACATGGTATTCAACGAGATTTTCTATCTAAATGATAGCATATCTCTGGCAGTCCAAGGAGGTTCCTTATCCTACTGGGAGAATGTCCAAGGCAATCCTGGGAGTTCTAGAAGAATCCCAAGATGACTGAGGTGATCCAAAGAAATCTGTTCTACCACATCTCGTAATTGCCAATTCTACTGATTTTTCAATAATCTTACGACTCTGTTTGGTGAAGTTGAAAAAATATTCGGTGAAATCTAGGGAGATTTGAAAAACCCAATGACTTCCGTAGCAACGTCCAGTAGCCTCCCATTTAGTTACCTCGCAAGCGAAGATGTAGGTTTATGCATAAAACTACAGGAATTACTTTCATACATTCATCTCCCTCACACACATACATGTACAGTGACCCTTTATGCGAGGGCATTTGTTTTGTGTTGAGCGTATGTTTTTC